TTAAGAGTATGTAATTAATTTTTATTTAAATATTTAGTGACAAGTTAATTAATAATTAATACAAACGAATATTTAGGTTCTGGATATCAACTTCGACAAGATGATCCTTTAGCGTTAAAAGAAATAATTCAACAAGTGCAAGTTGAGGTTAACAAAAAAGATTTAAAAAAGTTAGGGTAGTTATGATGATGATATTATATTTTTTAATACAAGTTCTCAAAGCTTTAATTATTTATTAATAATTTAATATTACAAATACATTGGTATAGATCTAGAACGAAATTTATGATAGAAAAGATTACAGAATTAAAAAATAACAGATTAAAACAACAAACGGCAATTTCAAGTGTGGAAAGTGTTTTAAGAATGAAAAAGTTTTTGGCTAATTTAAACAAAAAAATGCATGGTGATTAATAATATTTATTAATACAATAATAATATTTTTATATATATAATTACTATTTTTTATTAAAATGACTTATGATTTTAAAGTCCAAGCAACTGAACCATTAAGGGTTAGTTTAGAAGATATTCAATCAGTTGAAACAAAAGGTATAATGAAAAATTATAATATAAATAAAATATATATCGAAAATTTAAGTTTCAGATTATACCATATTAATAACAATGGTTTTTTATTTGAATGTTACTTGAGTTTAGGAAAATGGTGGCTTGTTGGATCTTCTTGGACAGCAAATTTAGTAGATGATCCTTCTACCTCAACATCAACGATTAAGAAAAATGATACAAAAAGTGACGATTCTTTCAATAAGGAATTTTTCAAACTTGCTGAACAACATAAAATGAACACTGAAGTTAGAAAAGGCATTTTTGTGATATTGATGAGTAGTGAGGTTAAAAAAAAAATTTTTTTAAATAAGTAGAAATATTATAAATGATATTATATGTTTTAAAATTATTAACATATTTATTAATTCATAAATCATAAAACATTATCGTCCTTTTATTTCTCTCAACGATTTAGGATTATATAGACGCATATGAAAGATTGATGAA